AAAGGTGGCTTCCCAGCTCATGAGACTGAAAATACCAGGGCAGAACTGTGTTGTACACAAACAACACCCCCCCCCCCCAAAAAAAAAAAAAAAAAATCAAACAAAAAACCAACAAGCAAACAAAAACAAGCCAAAAAAACCCAAACAAACAAAAACAAAAACAAGAACAAAAAACCACAACCCAAACAAACAAACGAAACAAGAACAACAAAAACAAACTAAACAGCAACAACCAACCTTCATTTTCAGTAACTCTTTGAGACGTAAGTACACACAATGTATAATTATTATGTCTGATCAGAAAACCAAATGCAACGTTGCAGGATTTTGCACCATTATAATATAGGAATCTGAAACACGAATCAGCACATTACAATACTAATTTTATAGTATACATGTTGTTATACCTGCTGTTTTATGTGTTTTTTTGGGGAAAAAAAAACAACAACAACAACCCAAAACCATCCCTCCTAAAAACAAATAAATAAACAAAACAAACAAAGCAAAAATTGATTAAAAAAATAAAAACAAAAAAGAATTAGAAAGTTTTAAAAATTAACGAAGTCATGCTTCTTTATGAAAGTGGCCCCGAAAAGCGTGTCAAATGACCAGAAAGCGCGTATTCACTGAGGTAAGGAACAGTAAAGGATGAAGGCGTTGACGTTGTGTGTGTTCAGTTACAGCGGACCCTGCGGTTATAGATGGATACGTAGTAATAGTTGCAGCCGTCAATGATCAGCTCACAGCCTCTAGGGACGTTGATGTGGTATGCATTGTTGGCTTCCTTAACGCCGAATCTGAAAAGCAGAGAAATAAAACTGTATTTGTTAAAAAAAACCCACAACAAAACCAAACAACAACACGACATAACAGCTATCATTCTCCCTGATTTATATGTAAATGGTGTCTAAAAAAGAGGACCCCCTTAAATGGCAATAGCTCAATCATCTCTGCACCAATTCTGACAAAACTTCGCACAAACCAAAGTCAACTGTGAGGACATTGATTCCGTAAATATAAGATAAGATAAGATAAGATAAGATAGTACTTTATTATCTCAGAAGGAAATTTTCCTTGGCTGTACAGGACCGTAAAAGCACATGCAGGTATACATAAAAAAATTAAAATATATATTATATTATATTACTTTCATAAAAATTCAATATGAAAGGAGAAGTAAAGCTGACAAAATGTACAATTACATCAAATACATCATTCAACCACATGCAGGAATTTAAATACTAGACCTTTGGAGTTATATACAGATACATACTCTAAGAGAATGAAGAGAATCAATCAAAGTGTTCGAGAAATAAATCTATCAAGTTTTACACATTTCAACCAAATGTTACTTCTTAAAAGCGTCCAGCTACAGGGTCGTGATCGGCACGTTTTGGTTAGAGGACAAAGACTAAAACCTCGACAGTCACATCAGATGAAAATCTCACTGTGCTGAGAAAGTTTTGTAAAAGCTTGGGGAGGGGGTATTAATAATATTATGCTGTAGTGGCCTGGTTCTAGTAAGATGGGTCCACACCCCACACGCCAAGAGTGACTCTTGTGTAGTTGTATAAGCCGAAAGTTTACAAATGAATGGTCACCACTTTCTCCCTAACGTGAGCTTTTTTAGTCATTGCCTTTGGGTTTTCTATAGACAGAGTCTACGGAAACAACCCATAGGCAATCAAGCAGATAAAACTCAAAGTTAAACATACCGTCCAAAGAATCACACAGAAACGCGCCATGGGGCCACTCAACTTCCCGGTAGCATACTGAAGCTTGTAACTAGAGAAATGGTCAACACTTGAATATTTAAATTGCCACCCCCTCCTGGATTTTTTTTTCAACATTATTTTAGTTTATTTTTTTCTCCATTGCACAAATAGTGACTGTTTGAAACGGAACAACGTGGTTGATTTTTTTAGAATTTGCAAAGTAATGCGTTTCTCTCAATTCTAGTTAGAAGTTTAAAAACTTGATATTTTTCGAATACATGTACTTTGATTGATTTTCTATTAGCAGAGGTAATGTCCTCATGGTTGAATTTTGTTTTTTCAAAGTTTTGTTGAAATTGATCCAAAGACACACGAGTCTTTGCCCTTTAAATGGGTCCCTTTTTTAAACACCCGATATAATTTGATACCTAATGCAATAAACGTCAGCAAAAGGCACCATATGTAATGAACAGTGGAGCATTAAAATTGTAAAAGTAGTAGGAAGGCAAAATTGAAAAGACTACTTGTGAAATTAAGTCAAATTTGATGCTGACCTGATTATCCAAAGAGTTACCCTCGATTCAGTGCGAGTAACGTCATTGGGGTATAAAACAAAATGCGTTATGAATGTGGATCATGATTTACCCTACTTGTGAAATTTCCAATAGATTTTTAATTGTAATAACTTGCTGACAAATCGTGGTGCACGGTAGATGACATTTAAAATCTTCTATAAAACCTGACATGGGTTTGTGTAAAAGTAAACCCACCATGCTATGTCAGATGGTGACTCAAAAATACATGATGAAAGATTTTGAATTAATAAATGAAATAAATATGCTAATAAACAAATAAACAACAACAACAAATATTTTGAATAAATAAATAAATACATATGCTAATAAACAAATAAACAACAACATCAAAAAGAATATAATAAAATATGTGTTTTAAAGTCAGTTTATATAATTATTTTCTCACTTGACACTCCTCAAATAAAATCTCTTGCACTACTTACAAGAAATCCGGCCCAAATCCATTTGGAACGTAATATTTAGGAATAGTTAAACTTCGGGGTTCTTTTTTTTGGTGAAACGACTTTTTTTTTTCGTGGAAGGAGCCTACCTTACACCACTTTTCATCATTCTAAACCTCTACAAAGCAAAAAGGACTTTTTTTGTCGAACTATTTCGCCCGTTGTGCCAAGCAAAGCCCCCCCCCCCCCCGGGCCACAACACACACACACACACACACACACACACACACACACACACACACACACACACACACACACACACAGCGCGCGCGCGGCGGTCATCTCATAATATTAGACTTGACAACATGGTACCGAAGATAGGTATGGGAAGTAACATAAAAAATTACTTTTGACACCGTTTAATTATGTGTTATGTCCCTTGCATTAAGTACGCCGATTAAAATTTCACCAAACCTGCATTGCTGAGCTCATGTTTCAAGTTTTTGCCTCACAGGGGGCTCAGGACGTTGTTCTAGTATAATGGTTTGTTTCGTTTTTGTAAAGTGTTTTACGGCGCTCACAACTGCATAAGGTCATATGAGCGCGCGGAACACACCTAATATTTTTCAGTTGGTAGGAAATTTTTAATTTTGCCAGGATGGCGGCCGAAGCCTACTCTTATCGATTTTAGACCACCAAGGGATCTTTAATGTGCGCAACTTGCACACGGGCCCTCCGAGATTTTTCGCCCTTGTCCGAGAAGGCTAGGTGTAGATCTTTCCTACCAGAAGATCAGGGGTGTGGCTGAAAGACAGCAGTAAGTAGAAGCCAAGGAGTAGCAGTAGAAAGGCTGCAGAAAGAATCAGAAGCCCAGAGGAAGGGGCAAAGGGTGGGGCAGAAAGAGGAGACGAAAGCAGACGACAGAACATTGCTAGAGAGCAGAAAATGGGGTGAAAGGAGACAAATTTAGAAAAGAAAATTTTTCGGTCGCTACCCGAATTCGAACCTGGGACCTTTTGAATGAGAGGCCAACACCTTAACCCCTAGGCCACGAGAGCCCCCCTAGTATAATGGTTTCGGTCGTGAAAAAACAAAACGCAAAAAAACAACAACACAAAAATACAAAACAGCTCTTGACAGAGGAAGAGAAGAGTTGGATACAACAACAGCAACAACACATTTGAAAGCAACAAAAACACATGTTGCCGAAAATGCTGCCATGAAAAGGAGGATGTCAAACATATGTTTGAATGTCCAGGAACAATGACAATTCGAATGGAGTTATTTGGACGAGTGGAGGTGCTGTAAAGCATATTGACAATGGAGCCGAAAAAGAGCCTCGCTCTCGCTCGAAGATTTCTTTGTAGAGTCCGCCAGGCCCATTAAGGAAACAAAAAAAATCATCATCATCATCATCATCATCATCATCATCATCATCATCATCATCATCATCATCATCATCATCATCATCATCATCATCATCATCATCATCATCATCATCATCAAGTGCCAAATCTACGACAGACATCGACGGCCATGGTTCTCAAAACATTCCTTAGCTCGGAAGCTCTCAGAAAAGCTACATTATCCTGATCTTTCCCTGACCTGTGAAAGCCCTCCAAGTACGTTTCCCTGGCCCCAACCTTATCTCGTTTGCCTTCAGTTGAAAGCTAGATGTCATTAAAAGTAATACAATAAAATAAACAAATGGAGAAACACTAACTTAACTGGCAGCATTTCGCTCGCCCAGACTTACGAAGTTCTATCTGCTCATAGTTTAAAAAAACTTGACGAGTAAAAAATTTGAGTTTAACAACACGTCAAGCTTTTTCGAATGCAGTTCTTTGAATATCTTGATAACGACTCCGAACAATCTTACGATTTTGAAAACAGAGTAGACAGAATAATATGTGGTTAATTTTGACCTCATGGTTTGAGAAACCAAAAACGGCAGTAAAAATGTCAGATAGAACTTTGTAATTCTGTGGTTGCAATTTCCTCTCACCCTCTGCAGTAGAGGCCGGCCCAGCTGCACGTGCAGTCATAGCAATCGTTGGTTCTGGCAGTGTCCCCTACCTTCATGTGAGTGGGTCGGATCTCGTGGGTGGTGCAGTAGGCGCTCCCGTCACCTGTGGGGGACAGGGGAGCGGGTTGAGAACACTTGGTTTAGGCCCATTTTTTTCTTTCTTTTTTCTTTTTCCCTTTCTTTCTTTCTATTTTTCTTTTTCTCTTTTTTTTTTTTTTTTTTTTTGGGGGGGGGGTATTTGGGGTTTATCAGGAAAGTGCAGTGGAGTCCTTGTAAACCGAACATGGTTAATCCGAAAATAGCGTTAAACAGAAAGAAAATAAATTAATCTTTTGGCTGTTTGTTTGTTTCAAATATAATAGATTTGCTATATAAGCAATCTCTTTAAAACGAAATCATGGCTTAAACGGAAAACATTTAAGTAGGCGGTCAGGCAGATTTCGTTTTAAGTGTACCACACTTCACTTTCTAGGAAAACGATCATTCAGTTTCTACCTTTTCAGATTGTTTGAAATGTGACGATTATTCATCTGACGTGTCTTTTAATCACATAGACCATAATGCCCCCTACCCTTTTATCCAATCAATATAGCCCTCTCCGGGTAAAATCTTGATCTAAATAGGATAAAAGCAAACACATTTGGATTATTTAATCCTCCTAAATTAAAGGAAATAGTGTAGACGCAGGCGTTATCCTTACAAACATATTGTACAGTGCTGAGACCTGGACAGTGTACCAAAGCCATGCCAAGAAGCTTAATCGTTTCCCCATGAAATGCCTTAGAAGAATTCTTGACATCAAATGGTGGGGCAAAATAGCAGACACCGTAGCTTTCAAAAGGGCAAGTGCCAAAAGTTTGTTTTTTAAGGACTCAGCCTCACTGGGCTGCTATTTCGTAAAAATGACAGAGTTCAGAATTCCCAAAGGCAGTGTTCTATTCCGAGCTGTCTCCAAGGAAGCGTAAGGTTGGCGCACAAGAAAAAAAAAGCGCTGCACAGACACCCTGAAGATATCTCTAAGGGACTTCAACATAAGTCCTTTGACATGGGAGAACATTGCTCCCTCCTGAAATACCCACTTGGAGAGCAGCCTTGACAGAGGGCAGCAAGTCACACGAGACTTCATCAATTTCATGGGAATGCTACAACCAAGGGAGAAGTCCAGAAGCTGCGCACACCCATATGCCAAAAGCGAAAATGAATCCTTAAAAGCTAAAATGTGTATTATTATTATTATTATTATTATTATTATTATTATTATTATTATTATTATTATTATTATTATTATTATTATTATTATTATTATTATTATTATTATCATTATCATAATCATTATTATTATTATTATTATTATTATTATTATTATTATTATTATTATTACTATTATCATTATTTTAAAAAAAAGACTATTATTATTATTATTATTATTGTTATATTATTATTACTATTATTATTATTTATATTATTATTATTATTATTATTATTGTTATTATATTATTAATATTATTATTATTATGGTCATTATTATATTCATACTTGCATATCTCAAGGGATCTCGAAACTCATCAGCAGTCGACATGGCCAGGAAAACGGCCAAGCAAAAACCCAGACGGAAAACGTTCGACACCATCTTTGTCCAGGGGAGACACAAACAAACTCGCAAAGAGAGTATACAAGTTCTACAAAAAGATGAAAACCGCGTCTCCTCAAACGCAGAGAGAGGACAAATAGAATCTAGTAATACTAATTATTCTAATCCAACCACAGCAAACTTTGTGACAAATCGTCAGGTTCTGCAGTGGCGAGTGGGCAGACGTGGACAAACACTGCACTGGCCCCTCGAGGGATGTTTGCAACCTTTTCAACGAGTGATTACGGAACTTTGGCGAAATTAGAAATAATAATGTGAACAGTGTGGGCGCCAGTCTGTTGTACGACAAAGCTTTGATGGCAGAGCAAGAGGCAGTTGGCGGAGTATTTATCCCAGCGGACGGTCAGCTCGCGGTAATGACTAATTTACTGTAATAGTAATACGACCGGCGTCATGGTCGTCAAGGGTTCTGTCAATACTGTAAACGTCCTGTCATTTTCGTGTCAGTTTCCGAGATGTTTCATGAGAGCATGGCAACAAATAGAATAAAATGTGGCGTCGGTGGCCTAGTGGTTAGGCTCTCGGACTCGCAACCGTAAGGTCGTGGGTTCGAATCCCGTCAAGGGCCCGACGTTGTGTCCTTGGGAAAGGCACTTTACACGAATTTTCCTCACTTCACCCAGGTGGGAATGGGTACCCGGCTATAGACAGCGAAAGATCTTGTCAGTTTGTTAGTGTTTGAGCGCTTAATCGGCTGCTCGCACTGTATGCTTCCCGGGAAGCTGAGAATGTTTCGGAGTGTTCTATGGTCTGCTGGAGTAATAATATAGTGTAAAGCGCATAGAGCCTGCTGTTGAGCGGGGATATGCGCTATACAAATGCTATCTATTATTATTATTATTATTTAAAATAAAATGAAATGAAATGAAATAAAATAAAATAAAATAGTTTTTAAAAAAGGCATAACACCCCCACCCTTTTAAATAAATAAATAAATAAATAAATAAATGAATAAAGAATAAATAATGTTAAAAAAATCAAGCACTCGATCAATCAGTCAATACATTAATTAATGAATTAGTAAATCAATAAAATACATAGAGTATGGAGTCCTGGTAGAGTTCTTTTAGACCAATAATTTCTAACAACACCACCACCACCACCACCACCAACAACAACAACAACAACACCACCAACAACAACAACAACAACAAAATAAAATGAAATCATATAATAAGTCCCGAAAACAAGAGATATTTCTTACTTGTCATTTATGAAAGATGCTATCCATACTTATCATTTATTTATGTTTTACCTGAAATCAATGAATCAAGAGGTCAGTGTTTAGAAGATTAGATCGAGCTCAAACAGTCCAATAGTTGTCTTGCTTTTAAATGAACATCAAAGGTGTTGAGTAAAGAAAATCACAAAACGGGCAAAGAGAGGTCGGTTTCTTCGATTTCAGCATATTTTTGATGAGCGTTTGATTCCACCGCGTCAAGAAACGCACACAGACCGATTTTTCGTGCTTTCAACAAATTGAAATGTATCTAACTTAGACCAAGCACGTGGAAAATCTGGCCCGCGGCCCATAATAACCTCACAAATACCCCCCCGCCACTCGAAACTGTTTGTTTTGTTGAAACTTCAACAAAATAGTCGCAAAATGTCTCAATAGTTTAAAATGTGTATCCAGTTACTTGGTTAAGCAATAATACATGTATGACCATATGATTTTAAATCGTGAGTAGCAAAGAGAGGCAATCTTGAAATCATACCACGAAACTGCAAGTTCCTTTTACATCATCTTCATCCTTGGGCATATTTCTTAAAAGTAAAAGTTTTACGGCACTTGCAAAACAATACGGTCACTGGGCAAACACTCACAGTTTCGTAGAAGTTGCTCAATAGGCTACGTATGAATGGAACGTCGTTTTGATTGAAATTGTATAAATGAAGGGGTGGGGGGGCAAAAGTAATACTTAAAGAAACAAAACAACAGCAAACAATTAAATACTATTTCCTAGCCTGTGCACACCGCTTGATCGTCCCAGTAGGGAGGACAGTATCCACAGTCAGACGGAACTAGATTTAATATTTTTCTTACAATACATTTCCGTCCATTGTAACTGACTGTGGCAATCTCTTTTAAAAAAAAACAGTCATCAAACAAACAAGCAAACAAGCAAACAAACAAACACAACAACAATCACAAAAAACGAAATTAAAAAAGGTTAAATTAGCCTTTTAGTTTTAGTTTTAGTTATAGAGTTTTACGGCACTTGCAACACAAATTTAAATAGGTCCTATATACAAGTTGAAAAAAAGGGTTAGTTTACAGGTCTTACTAGAGAGTGACTTATGAAGAAAAGAAGGAGAAAAGATAGAACGTTGATGTTTGATAGAAGAGAAGAGACAAACCACACAAGAACACACGCCAACCACCAACAACGTCGCCTGTGCATGAAGGTAAAGTACCACAGGTCCTCTCCCCAAGAGGATTATTGCTTTTTCGTTGGTTTTTAAAAAGTTTTAGTAAGCTTTTTACGGCGCTCGCAACTGCATATTAGGTCATATGAGCGCCAAGGTGTGGATGTCAAGAGAGAAGTCCAAACGGGGAATCAGGCTCACCCTGCTCACCTCTCTAGCCTCAATAGCACAAAAAGTCAGCTCTGCCTATCAAGGCACCCCGGAAATACCTGTTTACAAGAGAGTGAGAAACATACAAAAAAGTGGAGGAAAAATAATGATAGGAAGGATGAGGAAAGAAAAAGCAGCAGTTCGCCCTATGTTGTTCCTGCACAGTATGAGCATGACATTGATAAATCAGCCCTTTTACAATTACTGTATACAGTGCATAAAAAACACGTTAATACCCCCCCCCCCCATCTTAGGGAATTGCAAAGAAACTTCAGTCATTAGCACTGCCCTGGTGAGGTTTGTTGGTTATTTGATTGATTGATCAAATAGAAGAACATCGAAACAACAGAGTTAATTTTCATGCAAGGAAAATCAAGACAAACAAACAGACAGTCAGATAGACAGACAGAGAGACAGACAGACAGACAGAAAATAGTAAAAGAAAAGAATAACATTGTTTGGCTTAGTAATGGCGCCCATCAACCACCAGCACCCCAGAACATGAAGTCGGATCACGAATTAAATACATAAAATACAAAAAGCATTGTTGTCAGTGGCGGGTCAAAATTAGGGAGAGGGACGTAAGGTTATCCACTTAATTAGCTTCGTCCTATGAGAGATGGAGATAAACATTCGAAGGTCAGGCCTCATAAATAACATTAGGCTACAGGGTTGAAAGGGGCGTTACAACAACAAGAAGAACAACAATAACAGCAGCAGGAACATCATCAACAACAATAACAACAATAGCAGAAACAACAGCAACAATAACAATGATAACAACCCCCCCAACAGCTCTCTCTCT